ACGCGCAATTAAATGAAATGAAACTAAACTAGAAATGAAAATAAACAAGAAATAAATTTATTAATTACAAAATTAAAGAATTTAATTAAATAAATTATGCTAAAATTAAGCTTTCCTTCTTAATAAAATTATAAAAAAAAAAAAACAAGTAAAAATGGCTTTTTTGAACAAATTTAGGAAAAATTCTTGCAAAAGGGTTTACAGCCCTGTGAAAATTTTTATACATTTTCTTATTTTCAAAATTATAATACTTTCCCTTCCATTTTTTTATTCTTTAATTTAAATTATGATTTTTATATTAAATTACCCTTAAGTAACCTACTTCTTAATTTTGTCGAATTTAAAAATTTAAAATAGTTTATTAAATACATTTATATTTATTAATTTACTTATATATTAAATTAATTATGATCATAACACAATATTATAATTGTGGCGAATTTCTTTATTTTTAAAAAAAATTAAATAATTTTGTAATTAAGAGTTAGATTAAAAATAACACAGAAAGAAGAAAATGTAACATGTTATATAAAATGTACAAATAATATATATATATATATATATATATTTTGTTTGGGTATTCACAATTTAATTTATATTCATAACGTATATAATACTACAGAATATCTAATGTTCATATTCAAACTAGCTTTACTTCAAACCTACAAAGTTATGACTTAAAGTTATGAACTCATGTTCAATTTTATTGAGTCGATATTCTCATAAATATTTGAAAATATGTACTATTTGTTCTGTTCCAAATTTTTCAATTTCAAATTTATAATTATTTGTATTATGGAACAGTTAAATTGTTATTAATAGATCTTTTCATAAACACAGAATATAGCGAATCTATGTAGTACAGAAACTGCGCTAAATTTTTGGTCTTAAATATTAATTATTTTATAGCTAATTTAATTTATACATAAACATATTGCTAAACTATTAACAACATAGTGAAATTTTTATAAGCAGCGCAATCAAATCATATGAAATGTTTCACTTTTATAAAATGATCAAAAATATATTACATATTCACTAAAGTACTATGTTTTTACAGTATTACCATTTTGTAATCAGTATTTTGCAGTATTGCGTTTATGAAAACCTCTTATAATTTTCAGATATTTCAATAATGTTAAATTATATAGACCAAAACGTAAAACATAATTGCAGATATAGTTACATTAATTGTGTGTAATATTATAGCTGCCCAGAAAAATGATGCAACAACATATAGCGAATAAAATTTTTACACACTCACATCACAAAACAATATTAATAATTTTGTTACAAAGTACACTAATTTCAAATATCTATATTTTTAATTTGAAAATAAAATTAAAATTTATTTAATTACATTCAAAATATTTTACTCACTCTTAATTATTACGTAAACAAATTTTATTTATTAATAATAAAAAATTTAAAAGCTTAATAATTTTGAAAAAAAAAAAAATAAGTAAATTGAACAAATTGAAGAAACAAAAATATAAAACAAAAGAAATTTTAACTGCTATTAGAAATTTTGTATAACAATAGACTGCCTTACTGTTTGTCACTAAATAAGTTACTAAAAATTATATTTATAAATTATTAAAAAATATGTTATGAAAAATTATGAATATTTTGTTTTTAAAATAATTTAAAAAAAAATATTATACAACTACCTACAGATTTGAAATATCAAAATTTAAATATTAACAATAATAGTGCAATAAAATTATTGAAAATTAAATTTAATTACTATTAATAATAATGAATTTCTTTTATATAAAAATCATTAAAATCAGTGAAACCAAATAATATTTTAGTTGAAATTCAAAAATAAAATTAGGAAATTATAAAGAATTCAAAGAATTCATTATTATCTTAAAAAATAAATTAAATCGCTTAACATTTCTGCTGTATTATGCATAATACTCTCTATTGTACCAATAATATTGAATAAAAAACTAGACTGCCAAAATAAATTTACAATTAATATTAGATATAATTAAAAATTATATAAAATTTCATTAATAACAATAAAATAATATTTAAAACCATATTTTTCCGAATTTCAAATAGTTTTGAAGTTTTAATTTTACATTGTTCAATAAATATTTAAATTTTTTGAAAAATATTTGTGAAATTTTAAATATTACTTTTAAGAAATTGGAAACAGCTGAAAATGCAACTGAATCATTATGATATAGGACATGAATTTGATGAAAAAATTCATTCGCATAATAAGTAATCATTATTTTCATATTTAATATTCCATTACCATTTCCAGTCTGAAATAAAAATGAAAATTTTTAAAATCTTGCATAAAAAAATTAAATCTCATATTCAACAGAATTTTTTAATATTATTTAATTAATTTTAGTTATGAATTATAATAACATTATGAATTTTCTTTTTTTATCATTAAGTAATTAATAAAATATTTCATATATAAAAAATCCTTGCAACTATTAAATACATAAATATAATAATATATAATAATTCGGTAATAAAACATATCAGAAAATTATATTTAATTAAAATATTATTAATTTTATGAGAAGAACCTCCAGTGTAGTCAAAAAAACAAAAAAAAAATCCCTGATGAATAATGCATTTAATTAAAGTAGAAAACACAAAAAAAAACCGAAAAGAAACTTGGCAAATATTAAACAAAAAAAAGGCTGTCGTTTAATTTAAAGTTGATTTTATATACTTAACATTAATCTGACGTCATTATACGCATACACATAATATGTATATATTATTCTCTCGTATATTATATTCTCAATTATAATTTACAAAAAAAAATGGAATAAAAATTAAATGTACATTTTGTGATTTTAAAGTTTTCTTATGATTTTAAAATTAATTCAAAAATATTTTTAAACTTTGTGTGTACTTGAGGCATGTACATACCATATATGAAATTAATTACATAATATTATAGACAGAAATACATTCAATATGTCAACATTATTATGTTATATTATATTGTTATACAAATATAAAATATGATTATTAATACATTATAAATTTGTTATAGTTCTCAACTTAGCACTTAAGTCGTCACAATAATTTTTTTTAAATTTATTTAATTTATATTTTTTGCTTAAGGAACCATATTATGTATGAAAAGTTTTAAAAATGATGAAAAACCAAAAAATTTGAAAAAAAATTTCAGATTAATTTTTCGACTAAAAAATATTTTAACTTTAACTCATTTAATTTTTCTTTTAATCATAACTATGTCAAAGTTTTTGGATTTTTTAAACTATTTTAAAAACAGAATTTATTCTTTCCTATATTTACTTTTATCTATATATATGTATATGAATCATATATAATTAAATTGTCTTATCTTTTGTATTGAAACTTAATTTATCGAAATTATGAGACTGAAATAAAAATAATTTTATTTATTTTTTAATTTTTATAAAATTTTATAAATTTCTTAAAATTTATAAAATTTTAAGAAAAAGAACATTACTCTTTAAATATAAAAACAAAATCTTATATTTCCTAAAAATGTTTCCAAATTATTAAAATTATAATTATATTCTCATCTACAATGTATAGTTGAGATTTTGATATTAGTAAAAATATTCCCTATGTAGGATATAAGAGAAATATAATTCCCTATAGAGAATATAAGAGAAAAAATTCAGGTAGTTGAATATGGCAATATTTGAGATTATTTTGATTGAAAATTTTTGTCCTATTTGCAGTTACCTCATATTTTTGTATATTGACACAAAATTTAACGTGATTTTAAAATCTCTTACATAAGAATTAAATATTATAGCTGATATAACGCACATTTGCGAGAACGCAATGACATTAGTTAAGGTGCAGAGTCGCAAACTTGTTTTTATTACTATTATATTTTAATATACATATAAAGCATTTCTGTAACAAAATAATACAGAAAATTTGTTCATTCTATAGAAGTATTCTAGAAATATAGTTCTATACCAACGTCAAATCCCGGAAGTCAAAATTATATTTTTGAGTTGTGTCTTTCTTCTTCCCAACGTGCGACATATAGGTTCCGAAGGGAATTTAATTTCTGTTCCGATTTCAAGTCTGAATGTTACCATTTATGTAGGTATATCATTTGGTGTCATAATATAGTATTTAAATCTGATTTAATTAAAAAAGTCAATTATGATTGTTTTTCGGAAATTTTTTTTTGGAATTGGATCACTAAAACATTTATCTTATTATCTATACCCATTATAGTATTTTAGTATTCTATAATATAATATCAAATATAATATCTAGTGAATATACTAAAAATTAAATGAAAAATTAAATAGTCAAGATTTTTCTGAAAAGGGTACCGGACCAAATCAAAATTTAAAAGAAAAAAATTTTAATAATTATATTATAATAAAATAAATCAATTACCCACCATTAAAAGAAAGTAAAATATGTTAAGTGCAATATAACATTATAATTTATTAAAATGTAAAAATTTTCACTCAAAATGTAGAATTGCATTTAAACACGACCATATTTACATTGACCAAAATAACATCATCACGTTATATTTTAAATTAAAAAAAAAAAGAATAAAGGTAATTCTAATATTTTTATTAACCTTCATAATATTGTTGTTATTTTCAATTCATATATATACATACATAAAAATATATATATACATTTTGCACCTCATTATATTTTATTCTAATTTTTATCATCAGCATCAAATTCAGATTATAACTGAAAGCTGTATCAATACAAAAATTTTAAAATAGTGTGTTTTTTTTTATTGAAAATTAACCAATATAATATTATAAGTACGTATGTATGTACTTTATAACTCAAAACAAAATGAAAAAAATATTCAATTCCACTCATTCCACCCACTCAAAGAACAAAATATGCAAAATTAGAAAAATGTGCAAAATTTTCACTTCTTTAATTCCTAATACAATTTGAATAATGCATTCATTAAAAATATAAAATTTAATCTGTTGAACTTATTCTGTTCTTATCTTTTATTTTAGACACACTATGTTACAAAATCTTCATATCAAACTATGGTAGAATATGATGATGATCCATTTTCTGGTCCACCTTATCGAAGATATCTAGATGATACAGAATATTTATAAAATTTAAAATGGAATTAATAAGAAAAATGAAAAAATAAAACAAATTTTATAGTACAAATTCTAACTTACAAAAAAAATAACATTTTAATCATAAATTGAATTTTTGCGTTATTAATAAAATCGGCAATATATTATTATACAGTTTACTTACATACATAATAAAATATAACAGTTTTATGCCATGTTTTTTTGTATTTTTTTTTGATTTGCCTATATTCAAGTCTATATTATGGAAATTATTATGAAATGAAAGTCATAATGACATAGTCAAAATATGTTAGCAATAGATATAATAAAACTTTCTTGTCAGTTGGTTACCTTTAGTTAAGATTGTAAAATTGCTTATTAAATTTGTTAGGTCTATTTGTGGAAAACCAATAAATTATTCTAAAATAAAATAAGGTCGCCATACCAAGAGTTCTGCGGGTTTAATTTTAAAATTATTTCTAAATATCTAAAAAAAATCCACATAGAAAATATGAACACATTTAGTTAAAAATTTTCCAAATATGTGCAATTTTATTCTTAAAGGTACATTTATTCATACTCGTATCAAGTATAAAACATAATAAGGACGAAAAAGTTAGCAAGATCTTTAACAGAAAACAATTTTACCGTTTTCATTCGTCAACATTGTCAATAAAATTGTGTCAGCACCAAAATGGTATTTTGTAATTTTAAATTATTTTTGAAAAAGTTTTTCCCTCTTTTGACTCTTTGAAAACAATAATAACAATCAAATTTTTATATTATACTATATATACGCTTTATATATATATACACATTATATCTATATATTTTCACGAAATCATCATTAGAAATTCCTTTAAACGTATAAGAATCATATTTTTCTAATAATAGTATATAAATTGTTGTTTTTGGCTAGCAAAAATAAAAGCCAAACATTAATAGTAACACAAAAGGATAAAATAAATCATAAAAATCGAAATAAACAGGAAGGAGAGTAAAAAGTCAGGAAAAGATTTCATATTTCTCGTACAAATTTTATAAGTAATACAACAATATAGAATACTCATCTAAAATCTAAAAAATTTTCAATTCATTCAGTTTACAAAACTAATAATAGTAAAATAATTTTCAATTTAACCAGCAAATTGATAAATGATCAAAATATTTCATATATGAATGGTTGTATGTACTTTAGTGAAGCAATAATTTTTCTTGAAATCTTATAACTTCTATAATTTCTTATTTTTCGTTTTTTTATAGCTGCTGCGTAATGGTATTTTTTACCACAACTGCAAAATATTTTAATAAAACAAAATTCTGTCAAAATTTTACGATAAACATAAATAAAATTATTACAATAAATAATTTTAGTAATTTTTGGTTATTTAGAATCAGTTAGTCCAAAATGGCCTTAGTAAGTTTGAGACCATTCAAGACAAGAAACTAACGAAAGAAATATAAAACTTAGTACTATTCTGTACATTACCATAATTTGTATGTAGATTTTAAATAAAATACAATTGAACAAAAATAAAGTTATGGCAAATTTTAGCAATACCTAGAGCCTGATCGTACAATCTCGCTATTTTACTCGCCAAGTGAAATGAAAGTCAGTAACTGTCATATATTTGTTATTTCTTGTAAAATTGCATTTTTTTCTAAAATTTATACAAAATTTTTTCGAAATTTGGAAGGTGAGATGTTTAGTCGATAATAATGAGAAATAAATGTAAAAATCAAATTAAGAAAATGAGTAATCTTATTGGAAAATGGAATAACCATTAGAAATGCAGAGAATTCTGATTTCAAAGTCAATAAACAGTGAAAAAATAAAGCAAATACACGATTAGGCTCTTAAACTAAATGAAAGCAAATATTATTTTCTATATAAAGGCATGTACGAAAGCTCAAAATTGGAATCCAGTTTTATTTTAAATTTTTAAATAATTAAATTTCAAATAAAATACAAGAAATTAATGAAATTCTAAAGAAAATAAGAATAAGATTAATTTTAATTGTAATAAAGAAATATTAAAATTTAATTTATTAAAATAGATTGCAAAATAATGTGAAAACAACTCCTTTCCTAGAGCAAACTAAAGTAATTATTGTTTCTAAACTGAAATAAAGTATAAAATGACTTTGTATTCGGAAATCGTTTTTTAATAAAACTTTTTCTCTTTCAATTTGTTTTTTGCTTACTTGCTTGTTGTCGTATTTTCTCATCTTGTAAAAGATTTACAGTTGTTTCGTTTCACTTGAATTATTTTCTCAATTCTTTTTCATTTTATTCCTTTTGTTTTTCTATTGAAAAAAAAAAATTTATATATTTACGTGTTGTTGCAATTACTGTTGTTTTCTAATACCATTTCTTAGTCGCACACTTATTTTTGTCTCCTTCCATATTTTTCGATGTCCTTACCGATTTCTACATTTTCTAATATTTGTTTTTTTTATTACCGTTACTTTTTGTTCTTATTCGTGTCTCTATTTTTTTTTTCCTATTTTATTTTCTACTTATTTTATTTCTTCTCGGTTTCATATACCTTTTGTTGTTGTGAATGTCCGAATGTTATGGTTGGTTTTTTTTTTAAATTTATTTTTCCTTTATTTTTTCTAAAATGAAATTTTTTTTTAATAATAATAATATTTTTTTTCGTTACTGTGTACGATCGAAATATATACCAGAATATTTTGAATTGACCTTTGAACATTCGGTTTTGAAAAACCGCTTTTAGAAAAATTATTTCTGATTTAATAAAAAATTGTTTTTTAAATAAAAAATAAGTTGAATATTTTTTGGAAAAAATTACAATAATTTTTTCGACCTATAGTTGCACTGAAATTAATAAAATAATTTGAAAGTTTTCACTTACACAGAGACAAAAATATATAAATTTATACCTTTACGCATTGGTTGTAATAAAACTAAAAATAATTTTGAAATTTTCAAGCTTACTTTACGGATGCTCACAGTAACATTTTTTTATTATAATACACTATACGAATATAATAGACTTTACGAATATAATAAGGATTATGGTCGAAATAAGAAAGTAAGTTAAAATGAAAACGAACCGAAATAATAAAATAACCAAAATATAATTTCATAAAACAACAAAAGAACAATAAAAAGAAAAAAAAAAAAAGAAATAAAAATAAAAATTTTAAATTATGTCCTGTGTCGTTATTTTTCAATTTCAAAGGATTTTCTATGATTTTTTTCTACATGAAAATATTTTTCGTTTCTCAATGTTTTTTTTCTTATTCTCTTCAATTTTCTTTTTGGTTTTCGTAAAATTTTCATTTTTATACTGTTTGTTTGTTAGAAAGCTGTTATGATAAAATATAACTACAATACAGTACTGTGTCCAGCTACTAGAATCTCTTTAAGATAAATTGAAAAGTTAAGTTCTTCTGATTTAATTCTTGAAAACGGATTTTATTATTTATATATACATATACGTAAGGAAATACATATTATAGCTTATAATCCTTGTCCGGAAAATGAATTTTCTTTATTTGTTGTTTCAGTTTTTCTTTTTTTTTTCGTAATGATTAAATACATGTATTTTTTGAAGTCATTTATTGTTTTTGATAGAATTTTGAAGTAAATTTTTTTTTTTTGTTATAAGCACGAATAACTTTTGAATTTTTTCGCTTCAAAGAATGAAATTCTGAGGAATTTTAACAAAAGTATTTCGAAATCAATTCGGTTGAAGAAGTCCGAATATTAATCATAAAATTTTTAATGTACACACCTATATTATATAGAGTATAAGTTTTTGAAAACCATGTTGTTAAATTGATAATTTTTTTTTGTATTTTGCAGCTATTTTATTAAATTGTAGTTCTTGTGTATATTTCGCCCTAATTTAGTTCAGTATGGCATATAATTTTATTTAGCATATAAGTAGAACAGTTTTCTATATTATGAATTATATTGGGAGCCGCTTTTCTCATTATTGAATTTTGAAGAAACCGCAAAAATTTGGAAAAATTATGGAAAAATTTTCAGAAACCTTAAAGTTATTTATAAAAATTTCAATACTTTTTGAAAATAATATTAAAATTACGCTACACTAGATAAGTTCGTCAAAACTTTACTGTAATTACATTTAATATATTTAATTTCCTTTATTGTTATAAAATATAAAATGGTTTCCATAACAGGTTATGTTACTTCTTAAAACAAAATGCTACATTTTTTATAATATTCATTCAAAGCTATACACTGAAAAAAGCGAAAAATTATATTCAGAGAATTCTTGTGTATATTTTAAAATTAAGAAATGAATATTATGAACTTGGACCATATTTTAATTTTCCTCTCAAATTTTTATTGGTACGAATAATTTCGGTTACATATTCGCAATTTTATTGTCCCTTAATAACAATTTCTAATTTTTATTCTTATGAGTATAAAAGTATTTAGTTATCACCTTTAGTTTCCTATTATATAAGAGCTTTAAAATTCTTAAAAAAATTTTCTTTAAAATTTTTATATTCGATTTTTGCATCCAAATCCCTGTTTTTTCAATAGCTCGTAAAATCTACGTATGCATATGAATAAAATTAAAATAACTTTTCGAGGACATAAAAAAAATTGCCTATAACATGCATACATGCATATACTCTTGTATAGCATACAATGAGAGTAAAACTCAAAACAATAAAATGGAACCGCTACCAATTCTAAAAATTTATTGCATTTCTTTCTTTCTTCTTCGTTTTTTTCTATAAAATTTATTCTTTTGATTGCCGGGGTTTTTGTTTTTTGTTTTGGAACAATGCATTACAATAATAAAGTATGTGTCAAAAAACACTCATTTTAAAATAAAAATAATTATAAATTTTTATTTTAAAAATAATGAAAAATAATTTTGAACTATTTTCCATTATTGTTATTAACGTTATTGTTTTATTTTTTATATGTTTGCATGCATGTATGTGCGAATATTTCGTTCCTTTTTTTATGTAATGATTATGACAGGACGTCATAATGCATAAATATTTCATAACCTTTTATTTTCATTGCTATTATTATTATTGCCATTACCAGTATATTATATTTGTGCTTTATAAAATGCGAATGTGGTAGAAAATTTTCGGTCGCTTGCCTAAGAAATTCTCTTCTAAAAC